TTTGGGTATACATGAAGGAAGGCTCTAGCTGATTAAGATCTTCGCTAGAACCTCCTTCATTGACACTGATAATACTGACCGTTACTTGATCTTGATTGCATTGTTTGATAGCTAATGCCAATTTTCCACAGATGTGCTTGATCGATGTATGCACACCTTTAATTTTGGACCAATTTTTAGCCCATTCTTGATGACGTTGCTTGTTGCCACAAAAAATGTATATGGCATCCAGTTTTGGCATGCCATGAATTTCTGGTACCAGGTGTTGTCCTAATGCACCTGAGGAGATGACAAATGATGTCTCCTCATTGTTTTCCTGGAGTTTCTGGATACATTGGTCGACCGTGGTGCATGGATTGACTTGATTAACAATACCGCGCAATTGCGCGAGTGTATTCTGGCAATCTTCATTTGCCATGTTGATATTGCTGTCAACCCAGATGACCAGGTAATTTTCAGCCATTCGTAGTCGTCGTTGTCTACTCATTTTCGACGTTGTTTTTGGCGTTTGCTCGACGATTGAATATTGTGAAGGATCAATTGTTGTTTGGATAGAGACCACTGTTTTCTATTTATATACTCGATATTAGATGTTTTTTTTCTAGATTATTCTATGACGTCAAATATGGGTGCGTATTTTTTTTTTGTTGATACTCAAAGATAAATCCCACCTACTTTCAATTGAAAATATGCTTGTCAAAAGTAAACGAAAGAAAAAAATCCAACAACATCATTTATCTTTTCGTTATTCTTTCCAACTTTCGCTGCTTTTTTTTCTATTGACTTTTATTGATCCTATAAAACGAGGCTGACAATGTAAGATAAGAAGAAATTAAGCATAAATAAATAGAATGATAAGAATAAAATAGCAAGAAGAACGATACAAAGACAATAAGTGGAGGAATCATCATCATAAATTTGTAGGCTAGTGCGATCTTATGTTGGGATGTGTGTGCCTAGGCAGATGTGTGTCCGAATTTGAGTATGGGTGGATGCAGTTGTAGCCGTATGGTGTGAATTGGTGCTGGTGGATGTGGTTGTTGCTGCGGCTCCGGACGGGCATCGATGTGGGTTGGTACAGCTGTGATCATGAGTAGTGGATGGTTATGTGGGAGTGTGAGTGTGGATGTGGGAGCGGAAGCAAATGATATAAACGTGGTAGTGGGTGTCGATGTAGACGCGGGTATGGGTTGGCATGGGTGTGGATGTGAGTCTTCTCTTCAACAAGCACGCTCACGTCCACCGACATCCACACCCACAGTCACATCCTCGTACCTTCATTCTTCTTCAAATTAAAAACCTTGTCGATCATGTGAAACAATAGAGTAATGGTTACAGTTAGCGTGAATGATGTTAGGCTTCGTCACGCCCTCATGTCAGGACAGATAGCATCTCCTTGTAACTTGTATTTTGAAAATTTCCAATCCCTTCGAACCAGCCGTTGATTTTACTTTTTATCTTATTTCGAAGGGTACTCTTGTACGACTCACTTCATTCTAGCTCTTTGATCATTAGTAAGTCGACTACAGACTAGAATTCTACAAGGTTAACATCAAAATTACTGAAAAAAGAAGTTCTCCAACGGATGCACGCCGTTTTTGTTGATATTTTGCCCATATGTATGGTTTGATGACACTAGAAAAAAGTCTAAAAAGATAACGGTGTATAAGCTTTCCTTCTCGAATGATGATCATTTTACTTGATTTATCACCTATGACAAGGGATTCAGTGAAAAATCAGTTTTCATGCACATGCAGGTCTTATGACCTATATATTAGGCTTAAGGTTGCAGTCAAAATAAATGCTTCTTTCGTGAAATATTGATTTTTCCATAGAAGTCGATTTTCCTGACATGTATGTAGCATGTTAATGTTTTCTTGATAACGCAATATTTCGAGAAAGAGGCGTTTGTTTTGACTGGAACTTTTAGGCTAATATATAGGCCATAAGGCTTACATGTGGACAAAATCTCAGATCGAAATTTCTCAATTTGATTTTTTGCTGAATTCCTTGTCCTGGGTGGTAAACCAAGTGAAGTGATCCTAACTTGAGAAGGAAAGCCTATGGGCTATTATCCTTTTAAGTTTTTTTCTAATCTCATCGAACCCTACATATAGGCAAAATATCAACAAAAACGGCATGGGTTAGTTGGAGACTTTTCCATGAGTCTTGTACCATTACGAGCTCTTCGCAAAGATTCGCATCGGTTTGAGAAATGAACTTTTCAAAAGTTTTATTTTTGTGTTGTTTGATCACCAATTAGTTAAGAAGTCTACAATGAATATATTATGTATTCAAACAGGCTCGATAAAACACTATGAATCCTTGTTTTGTTTTTTAACAATGATACAGTATGCCGTTTGTGTCGCAGGAGTTAATCGCAGAAAAAGAGAAAAAAGTTGGTTGGGGCACATGCTTTTATTCTTCTTTCACGGAAAGTCGATGACTTTGCACACAACATACTTGAATAACAGTCTTCACTTGCATAATAGATATTTGATAAGAAAATGAAGAACGGAGCATTTTGTTAGCTATCATCAGTGGGTTTTATCCAACTTACAAGTAGAACAACACAAGGTCAATACACAGGTGAAGTAACGCTGAATCAGCAAGCGTTGATGTCTGTTACAGTGGGGAGCCAGACGGACATGCGCGAAAATATTCTTTTCCAGAATCCAACTATTTGTGTAGGCACATGCATATGTGATCTATCATTTCCTAAAATAGTGATTCTCAAAGTTTTATAAAACCCAAGAAAAGAGCTCGCCAAGGTTTGTGCCCCAGAAATCAGCAGAAATAAAAAAATCAAGCTGCTAGGCAATATGAAACAATATTGCACAAGCAAATAATATCACAAAAAGCTTCCTCATGGGTAGATCTTATTTTTACAAAAAGGTATCCAAATTTAACTTAAAATAGAGTAGAAGACAGAGGATCTCGAGATTCAAAACCTATCTGAAAATATATCATTTCATATATTTTAAGCACTACAAAGAGAAAACGTCGAATCGAGCGCGCATTTTTACCAGACGTTCTTACATATGTAACCTACTTATGATAGTGCCGTAAACTCATAAAACCTTTCCCAAGCTATTTTACAGTAGGAAATCCGATTTTTGGCACTGATATTACTCTTTGAAGAAAAACTATGGTGATATTCGGAATGAACGCATTACACTACTTCGAGTGATATGTAGCTCAACATATTTTTCAAAACAATTTGTTTTCGAAAAACAATGGCTGAGGTACTACTCCCCAGGCAGATTTTTTCGTAAATTTTTTTCTTAAAAACTTTCTGTTTTCTCAAAGACGATTCTCTCAATGATATATGTTTATTTCTGAACAAAAAAATCGTATGTTCGCCTGCTTATGCGAAAACTTCCGACTATGCTGCAGGTACTCAAGGACTATTATATAGGAGTGTCCATAAATCCTAAAGCCCTATCCTGAAGCGGTAACCGTAAGTAGGTGTATCATAGATTCAGCTCAGTTCGCTAAGCTAGAACTAGTCAGCCAGCTTTGTTCGTAAGAGCTGGGTCTATTGCACACCTAATGATCAACCGATCTTTAACCACAGAAGTGCTCAAAGTTTACCTAAATATTCAAACATTTTCTCCGCTACATATACTACTTGTGTATCGAAGACACTCTATCACGCGACTCAATTACCTTCAGCTAACAAAAAAGCTTACTCTTACTTGCTAAGGCAAAACTCAAGTACACATTTCTTACATTACTCATGAACCTAATATTTCCTAACGCATTCAACAATGACCCTAATAGCCCTCAAAACTTTACCGATGGCTACTGCAAACTATGCTTACCCTAACTATTAGTCGCCTTAATTAGTGCTGATTAACTGAGTACTCTTTCTAATTAGTTCTAATTAGTTGGGTACTAATTAATTAACTAACTTACAATCACATAATGCTCATAGCCTATGGCTGCAATTTATGGAATCCTGCTATGTGCTGTTAAGTATAAAAATGGACTGGCGTGAAGTGAGCTTGAAATTTAGAATTTACGCAGTGTGAGGCTCACTTGGTCGACCACATTTATATAAATAGGAGTATCATTAGAAATATGGCTCTGACATTCTACTCGACGTAGTTATGCTTGTTAAATGAACTTATAGATTAAATCGCGAATGAGAAATAATTAACATCAAGAAACAATGAAAACATGTTATAATCAACACAAAAAATACGTCGTGATGAACTTTGTTGAAAAAAGTGAATTGAGCCAGTCATGATTTTTCTTAGATATTTTCACGTAGAAGATGGAGTTTTTTACGGGCTATCTTTTGATATCATAAAATTCCTGAGGAACCCCAGTTTTTAATTCAAAGGTCAAAATACTTTTAAAAAACGCAAAAAAAAACATGAAAAAACATGGTAGGAAAAACCATACATTTCTTCATTAAAAAGTCATCGTATTAACCCTTTTTTCCTATAAGATGATGCTTGTGTGAAGTTAACAGAAAAAAAGATGCTCTTCCTTTTGACAAAAGTCAGTGCTATATTAATTCGTGGAATAATGCTTTAGTTCTACAATATATTAAAAAGTACCAAAAAACAATGATCATTTTGCATTATAACTCTATAAGGCCTGTTACCATGACATACATCATAATGCAATGAATCTTTATTAGATCGAGTTAATATTTCGGATTTAGTAATATCTATATACGAGCTTTATTTTCAGATAATTAAATCGAAAATCGAAAATTTTACTCCAGCCATGTTGTCTGGTGTTCTAGTAGACCCTCTGCTAATACTCATAAAGTAAATTAGAAAAACAAATAAAAAGGTAATCATTTGAATAGACTGTAGCGTACAACTTGCATGGTCTGTTTTTTTGTCTTAAGTTTCACTTCATACCATATGAGGTTCAATGTCTTAGTAGAGAGATCTACGTTTGTAGTCAAGCACCGTCAGAAGTTAGAGAAGTATGGTATTGTATCTAAGTTTCTTACATCGAACCTAAACTATTTGTATTATTCAACCAATGATTCCAATTCCGATGTAGATAAGAATTTCGATGCTGTTGCTGGATATATCCAATGGATCGACTAATGGGGAAATAAGTTGAAACCAAGAGATATTCTAAATAGAAGAAAATGATTTCAATGAAATGAAGAAAAGAGAAAAAAAGACAAACTTCTTCACGAGCTACTTTCATATCATCTTTTATATTAGTAAAAATAGTAGATCGAATAAAATAATCTTTATCACTAACTTTTTTACCCGATCGAATATATTCAAGAATTGTTTCTAATTGAGTATGTCTGTTTTGTAGAATACACAAAAGAAATCAATGCTAATCTGTTGTCTTAACAAAATATTTTCTGGATCCTCAGTCAGTATGTTTTTTCCATAGTTTAGATTATGACACTTGGCTTGAAATGCTTTCCTATACCTATGGTCCTTGTTCAGTTGTAGAATCAAATGGATCACCAACAATACATTTCTTCGCTAATTCGACACTTTTAGACACAAAGGCATCGTGAAGTGTGGAATGAACAAACATTCTTGATGCAGCAAAACATACTTGACCTGCATGAGTGAAAACTGCTCTATGAGCCGTTTGAACAGAAACATCGACTAAAACATGCAAAAACAAATTAATTCTACCGTTTGTGGACCTTTTTCGTCATTAGGAAGTACAATGAAAATGAAAGTAATAGAATTATTTAATACATACGATCAGTATCTTTACAAATGATAAATGATGATTTGCTGCCTATATGTGATGAAAAAGGCAACAACGCAGACAGGTAAGAAAGATTATTTTAATAACTAAGTTCCAGTGAAACATGCTTTAGATTAGTTTTTCCTGCAGTCTCTTGAACCTTTTTCCCAACCTAAAACAAAATATTATGTGCTTGTGTTATTTTGTCTTTCATCTGCACTAATCTTGCCTTGAGTGAACCTGTAAAAGCTATTTTATTAATCTTTTCATTCATGACCACAGTTAAGTCCATGACTCACATATATACATCATTATAAGAGTTGTTTTCATTCTGGTGATGTGTATTACCTAATACACTGTTAATAATACCTGGTGGAAAACCAGCCTAGATTATTGATAGATGTTGAATAATACTTCTTTGATAGCAGAAGCATAAAAGAATGCAGTAAGTGGTGTTTGTTCAGGTGGTTAAAGAATAACTACATTGCCAATTTGTTATTGCAATATATAATCAAGTGTAAATTAATAGAAGTAATGAAGTTACCACAAACTAATGCTGATCCAAGTTTCAAGGCCAACATAACAGTCTGAAATATAATGGCAACAATACTTTTGTATGATGCATATGTAAGAAATAATATCGTACTGAATAATCACTGAAAGAAGAAAGTACCATTTGAATTTTCATTTATTGAGTGTTTAAACTGACCATGAAATGATTTGTTCATAGATTCCAACTGGTTCATGTCTAATATAGGTAATAAAAATACCTGATTCTGATGGAAATGTTTCACCAGTGATTTTATCAGTCCATCCAGCATCTGTAACATGTGAATATCATCGATAATAAAAAAAAAGAGAATGCCAGAGAGGCTTACAATAATCAAGATAAACAGCTGCTCCAAGAATCTCGCAATAACTCTCTTGCAGCATTTTTTCACTATTCAGTGTTTCTAATCTATGAATATTCATTTATGATGTGGATGCAAACAAACAGAGTGAACATTTTTACTGCTAAATAATCCACAACACGTAGAAGTAAATCAGCAAGTTTACGAATTAACTGAGCACGTGAGCAGGATCTAACTTACGCCATGGTGAATCATATTGGAAATCTTTTTCAGCAGCTTCAATTGCTTTATCAAGATCACTCTACAATATTGGAAACAATAAAAATTACATGTAGAACGAAAATAATCATGTATATATATTGATACTTTTGTGCCTTCTTCTACTTGACAAATTTCTTCATCTGTACTTAGATTAATAATAGAGAACGGATTCATCTTTGTCTACACGATTGACCTTGATTTATCACATAAGAAGAAAAGAAAGAATGGGCATATATTAGCTCGTTCCTTTATCTACTTATATTCGTTGCTGTTTCAATTGCAGATGATGTCTTCAATCTTAATGAACGATTCAACTTATCAAACCAATTTGGTTAAGAGAAAACAATAATTTGATAAGGTAGCACACCTGAGTATTGTGACAAGCCTTCGCGTCAATGTGGTATTTTTTAAAACTTGTCTTATCGATTGGACTTTGCGACAAGCGAAGAACAATTTTTCTAATAATATATGTATTTTATGTAT